ACAAAGAGATTTAGTGAAATCCAACCAAACCACTAGGGGATGTGACTGACAAAACCATTGAAACCAGAGAATCACTTCTCCTTTGAGGTGTATAGTGACGATTAGGATCCTTCAATTGCTTGGAGTTTCATGGTACTCGAAGTACCTTTCAGCTCATAGTTCAAGATCCTCACCTGAGAAGTTTGGAAAGACCAGTTTGGTTTGCTTCTAAGGTGTTGCCCCACTACTGTGGTTGCTAGTCTAAGTGGAGCCTTCCCCTCCACAATCCATGTTCTCATTGATAGGCACCTTTTTAGCTTGGCCAAGACTGCAATCAAAGCGGCCTTAATCTCAGTAATGTCTTCTTCAATCTAATCAATGCGCTCTTTAGTTGAAGCAGGGGCRGAGCCAAGGGGTGGCGAAGGGGGGCCATGGCCCCCCTATGCCTTTAAAATTCCCACAAGGCCCATTTAAATTCCACTTATATTTTGACCTCCTTACCCATGTTTCTTAGCTTTTGCCCCCCCCCTATCCATGTTTTCTAGGTTTTGGCCCCCCTCAAGAAAAAATTCTAGCTCCCCCCTGAGTTGAAGAGGACCCAGTACCCACCATGGCAACGTTCAGGTCATTGCTCTAATACCAATTGATAGGTTCAGCCTATCTTGAGTTTCTTCAAGGGAGATCAGGCCTCCTATAGATAAAGAGACGAGGGAGAGTAGGGTCTATGCACTCAAAAAGGTGATCCCCTCAAGGTTTTAAAAGTCTAAAGGTGTAGTTGAGGCGTAAGAAAATTAAAATAACATATAATCTACCAAATTAAAATGATAGAAAGTATACATATCCATAAACTAGAAGTTTATAAGCAATATGTTTCGGTATTTAAACATTAAATAAAACAATAACTAATCAATTAACAATTATAAACATTTTACATTTCATGTAAACAAACCAAATTAGAAGGAAACAACTTAGTTGATTTGATCTATAATAATAATAATAATAATGTTATTATTATTATTAAAAAGAAAAAAGATCCATTACTAGAAGAAATAAGAAAAATAACAAACTTGGGACATTACGTTTAGAATAATAAGAAAATTCTCACTTGATTTATCAAAAAGAAACTAAGAACTTGATTAGTCCTTTTTGCATTGAACTCTCTTAAACACTAAGAAAAACATAGTTGTCAAGGCGTCGCCTAGGCGACTAGGCGCCCTTGGTTGGGTGCCTCGCCCAAACACCTTGACTTTTAGCAACTAGGCGCCCTTCTAGGCGACTAGGCGCCCTTGGTTGGGCGCCTCGCCCAAACACCTTGACTAGGCAATTAAGTGCCCGTCTAGGCGACAAAATGACAAGGCGGGCGCCTTTTATAATATCATTTATATTGTTGTATCTTATTAATGTATGTGTTAATACATTTTATTATATGCTATATATATCAATTATATTTTGTTTTAATGTTTTACTATTGAAATTTAAAAGATCAAAGGGTTTTAAGAAGAGAAAAAGAAACAAAGAAAGAAAGAAAAAAAGAAAGAAAAGAAAAGAAAAGAAAGGGGAAAGAAACAATAGAATAATAAAGTTCTTTTTTTCTATTCTCTCTAATTAAATAAAACAGAAACTCCATCCTTGTTTTTTTTTCTGTTTTGCTTTCCATCTTGAATATTTATCATATAAAGTTAATAACCTTCTTTAGCTGCTAATTAATATGAACTTGCTCTATTAAATACTTATTATAGTAGTATTATTTTTGAAAATAATGAAATTAATATATGTAAAAGATTTTTATCTTTTAGATGTGATGATTTGCCACATTTTTAGAGGAAATTTAATGTTCTTAATAAAGAGAATTGCTATTTTTCAATTAACATACATGCTGAATGGTATATAAAACTAGGAAACTAGCCATAAGCCAGTTTTTCATATTATAAAATTTGTATCGCCTAGGCAACTAGGCGACTAGGCGCCCCAGTGTCGCCCAGAATCGCCTAGGCGACTATGAAGAAAAATTAATAGAATTTGATTTGTTGTATTGGTTTTTCCCTTTTCTTTACTCTATTATTTGGCCTATAATTATTGAAGTGTTTTTTCTATATGTTTAAATTATAAAAATGTACATTTTTTGTATTAAATCACTAAGTAATCATTCATACTTGAGGCTTAAGGCTTATGCCTTGAGGAAAAATTTGTATGCCTCGCCTCAAGGCTTAAGCCTTTTAAAACAATGAATCCCCTTTAATTCAGAAATGTTGTATATATAAGGATTACATCGCATGGGAGGCTTTTCAATTCTATCTAACTTGCTAACATGGTCCTCTCACATATGTCTTTATGTAAGGCTGGGTGGGGGCCATGCTAGTGGGCTGATTAGTAGAGATGGGCCTAGCAGTGTGCTTATCAAGAGGTCGCCTGGACAACCAGATCAAAGGATCAAATGTTGGAAATTGGAACTTCACAGGTAAGGACTAAGAAGAAGGCAATAGAATTGATAGAAAATTTCACAATTCTAGGTGGATACCATTGCTGATCAAAACACAAATAGATAAATCTAGGCGGATAGGCTTGACTGAAATAGAAATGAAGATTCTACCATTTATCCATGTCAATGATCTCATCTATCTGTCATTAATAAGATCTTGTATTAGAATTTGCTAAATCATATTCAAGATAAATAGAACATTTATGTTTCTAGAGACTGTTGTAACAGATTGTGATAAGATCCAAGTCCACAATGTAATATACTGACCAAATATATGGGCAGGAAGATCCAACTCGTACAACTCACAGTTTCCTTCTTATGCATCTACCAAATTTTTTTTTGCATAAAACTTATATCTTATTTACTAATGCTTTCACTAAATATTTCACTCCTCTATGATACAACTCTTTCTCATATAAAAAGTCACAAAACAATGATGTAACAATGTAAGGTAAAATGACTGCATCTATCAAAGACAAACTTAATATATAATCTCCCCCTAGAAGAGAATGCTCGAAATTTGTTGAAATAAAGACTCAAGAAGAGAGAATATGGGTTATACTAATCTAAATTAGGTAGGTACATAAAGCAATCAATAATATTTTGAAGCTTTTGATAAGTAAGAACATCCTCCAATATTACAAGATGCTTAAAATATACATAAGGTAAGGAAGAAGGGATGGAGAACTTCGCACAAACAGCATGTCAGAAGAAGAGCTGAAGCTGGAGAAGAAGAAATTTCTGCTAGAGGAATCAAGAAGTAGAGGAACCACAATTCTGAAAATCAGGGAGGATAGTAGGGAAACAGTTTTGACAGGAATGGAAGCTCCAGGTTGGCTTAAGGGCTTCATGGATGGAGCAACCCTTACAGTGAAAACTTAGGGATGGAGGAATGAACTGGTGAGAGAAGGGAAGAAATTTGTAGTGGAAGAGAAAAAAACGAAATAGAAATGGATGGTTCATCACACTTACAGAAAGTTTTGGATGGTTCATCACACTTACATTAGAAGAGTTTATACTAAGAACAGAAGCAAGAGATGAAGAAGAGGTTCCATCAGTCTCCACTTTAGCGGCACCAAAACTGACTTGTGAAGGCAGGACAACTGACTAGGGAAGTAAAAAGGTAGTCTCAATAGAGAAAAAAGAGTAAATGACTGGAACGAAGTCTTGGAGACAATCATGGAGAAGCTTCAATTAAAGCTTAAAGGTAAGGTCAAAGCTTTTCCCCTTYGATGATAGAAAGGCAATTTTGGAGGTAGGAGATATCCAAGCTGAAAAAATCCCCGAGGAAAGATGACAAAACTCCAGAAGGTGTTCGACCCTTGATTTCTAAGAGGACTTGTAAAGGTAAAGCAAAGGAACTCGTGTGGGTACAGTGCCAAGCAGAAAACTCCACCACCACAGGGGGGTCCAATCCACGCTTCAACAGAGAACATCCTGACGAGTCAGAATCAGAGGAAGAAATGGAATGGGAGGATCTCAGAGACATGGAAGACAAATAAGTGGATCAATCTTTGATCGTTGGAAGCATTGACACTAGAAAAGACTGCAAAATCCTGGAACTCAACCAGATGGGAACTGAGCTTATATTCGAAGAATCGTCCGCAATGGAATTTCTTGAGTTGAAGGAAGGGGAGATGGAAGAATGCGCCATGAATTTTGGGGGAACTCGGATGCACCAAATGGAGAAGGGATTATAGGAACAAACCAAATACAAGCACAATTAGGGGACTTTGGGAGGGATACAAGTGAAACAAATTGTGGTTATTTGAGAGAGTTTGTTTCATTGTACATCATGCTATGACGTGTTATTGGAATTTCAGTCAACCTTGCACCATCAGCAATCAAATCAGTATCTCCAAACTCTCCAACTCAAAACTCAGCACCAAGCATAAATTAGAACCTTAGTTAACCAACATAAATTGACTAGTTGGTAAGAATTGAAATTCAGTGAAGTAAGAACCTCAATGAGCTAACATCAAAGTTATGTTATCAATAAATGTGGTTATCTGAAGGTGCTGATAACATTCAGGAAGTTAAAGAACAAACTGGAGAGCCATCAACAACCATACAAAAGTACCAACTACCAAAACAATGCAGTCAACCATGAATTCAGTTTGATGCACTACAATGTTTATTTCAGATTCATAAGGTGCCTATTAGATACAATTGTGCTTGGTTAGAAAAGTATAGACAGCATACAGAATTCAAATGTTAATACCCAGTTTAGCAAGCCTYAAATATGATTGGCTTAGGAGGCAGTGATAATGCACTATTTTTTATTCCTCTTTTGTTATATAGAGGGAGGGTATAGATGTATATGTTTTAAATGTTTTTTGTGCTTTTTTAATGACATAAATGTTTCAATAGAGGGAATCTCTCCCTCCTGTTCATAGTAATACAATTACTATTTGTCAAAAGGAATTCCATTTTAGCAGCAAAGATCATGAAAATTGCTTCATATTGATCAAATTGCATATAATGCAGAACTTCAATAAAACTTTTCCTGGGCTGCAGATTAATCTGTTGAATGAAACCTTACCTCCTCTCCGCACCCTCAATTGCCCAGGCCTGCTTCAACTAGATCATCTAGAGAAAAAGCAGAAATAGAATATCTTATATAATTTCCTCCAATAATACAAAATGTGCAAAAATAATAACAACAACAAAAAAATATGAACTTTGCAAATTCCAAAATACTTTACCTAGAAAACTTCCTCGCTTTTGTAGTGGCTGCATCTCTTCTATTGTTCTCTAGAACAAGTGCACGTTCCCTCTCTTTCTCTCGCTTCTCTCTCTTCAGCCGTTCCTCCCTTAATTCCTCCAACGTCGTCTTGCCAGATTTCGTACCCTCCTCCTGCTTCTGTGGTCCCGATGGAGATCAGCATTTGTATCGGATGGCCTCGACATGTACCAGGGTGCTTTTACACCTTTTCCAGCCACTCCATATCCTAGCCTGTATTTCTCATCCTCTGGAAGAATAACTTTTGGCACTACCTTCTTCTTCAGCTTCTTCTTCCTGGAGCTCTCCTTTTGAGCATCATCATTCTCTTCTGCTTCACCACCAGAAGCAGGAAAAAATTCCAATCCTTCAAAGAGATTAATGTGATTCGACTTTGGTTCCGATGCAACAGATGAACTGCTTTGAGCAGCAGTAGGTAAACCACGAGCGCGCCTGAGCATCTCGAGGCGGAATTCCGCATCCCTCTTTCTGGACTGTTCTCGCTTAAGCTGCTCTTCTTTTGCCGCGGCTTCCTCATCTCGCCTAACTTTCTCTCTGTTTTCGTAGTTGTAAACATTCCAGCGCTTCCGAGGAAGAATGTTCAGACCTCCATGACCTCCCATTCCTTATTGTCAGAGTGCTTCCGAAAAGTATATGTTCAGGTAATTCACGATTTTGTCTAATTCACACAATGTAAAGACGACAAGAGCTTGGAACAAGTTATGTGAAATAGTATTTTCCAAAGAAGAAATAGTAGGAACCAAAAGTTCAGGTGGAACTCCATGTCTTACAAGTTCTACGACATCAATAATGAGTTTTCTTATCAGACCAAGGGAACCCGCTAAAAACAAATCAGGGCGCCAAGATAATCAGAGAAGAAATCCGTAACTTAAATTCATGTTCAGAAGAAAACATTACATTCGTGAGTAAGGTGCCGAGGGTGAACCTAGCTTTGTTCCAGTCCCAACTCTCCTCTGGTAGCGAAAACGAATCTCGTACGAGAATAGGAACACAGGCACAAAATCCAGGCACCTTCCGTTGCATTGTCGGCTGTCGCACACTCGCACTCTCTCAAGTCTCTATATATATATATAGTTTTTGCTCTGGGAATTACTCGCAGACGCGCAATTGATAATTGAGATTTGAGAATGATGCTTATTGGGTGCAACTTGGTGGGTTGGGTCAGGTACTCAGGTTTAAGATCGATCAAAGCAGGCCCATTTAGGGTGTCCATGAAAAACCGAATCGAACCGAGAAAATCGAATCGTAAAATGCGGTTAATCGAATCGGTTGGTTCAGTTTCGTTCAGAATTTTTAAAAAATTGAAGAACCGGTTCGATTTTCGATTAACCTATAAAAAATTGACAGCTAACCGAATCGATCGATATATATTTACATATATATTTTATAAATATTTTTAATATATGTGACATATTTTTTATGTATTTTATATAAATATATATTCATTATATATAAATATATACTTATATTATATATATAATGATCAATTTACAAATATATTATATATTTTTATAATATTTATAATATTATATATCATTTATTATTTATAACATAATATTATACATATATTTATATAATATATATTATAAATATAAAAAACCAAAAAATTGAAGAACTAAACCAATCAAAAACCAAAACCGGTTGACTGGTTAACCAGTGGTACTGGTTCAGTTTCGGTTTGGCAAAATGAAAAAACCAAAACTACCGGTTCGATTTACAAAAAAGGGGCCATGGTTCGGTTAACCGAACCGTGGACACCCCTAGGTCCATTAACTCTAGCTTTGACCTGGCCCAACAAAAGGTGAAAGCCCGAGTTTGTCAACTAAAGCTTAACTTAGGGTATGTTTGGCAAGTCTTTTTGAGAAGATCTTTTCGTAGCTCTGATAGTCAACAGGCGCATTGAGCTTTKGACATAAGATCTGGGCAACTTGAAGACCGTGTGGCAAATGCACATCTTTTCATGCGTCATTTTGGGTCTTTCCACGCAAGATTAAACGTGAAAGACACGGGAAGCTACATTATGAAGCTTCCCGAAATCAACCCAAAATGGGTTTCGCGCGTCTTTTCGGTGTCATGTCTTTTGGCAGCTAAATCTTCCGCATGCCAAACGGGAATAGACCGATTTTCGGTCTTCTCGACTTGTAAACAGCCAAAAGACCACACAAAAAGATGTGCCAAACGATGCCTTAGCTTAATAGTTTGGTTACTTTCACGCTTCCTCAGGTTTGGGGGCCCAAATAGATTGGTTTGATATGAATGGTTTCTAGCATGTACTTAATACATTTACTAGTAGGCCGATGTGATACACGAGAAAAAGATGTTATGACTTATTTGGCTTAATTCAGGGATAAGTGGACCGCAATCTACCTCGGAAATTTGAAATTATAGCCCCTCCTAGTCTACTAGTAGCCCCCTCCCCCCTATAAATCGCATCCTGCCCGTGAATTTGGCATCACGAGCAGGATTCAGTCCACCCCTAGAAATCTTAACTCCACCCTAGGGGTGGACTGAACTATAACCCCTAAAACATATTGCTCTATAGGGCTATACAACTCGGGGGTAGGGCTATCAATTTTTCCCAACCCTGTCAAGTACCTAGCCTCCCCAACCAAGCAGGGATAAGGATGGAGACTATCTAGCGGGGGCAAGGTGGGGATAAGATTAATAGGAATATCCAATTGGGGATGGGATGGGGTAGGGAGTGAAGTCTACACCTTCCCCCAACCTTGATTATATATATTAAATATGTGTATATTATATTAAATATATAATATTATTTATAATATTTATAAAATTGTTTATATTATATATTAGAATATATTTAAGGTATTATTTTCATTTTCATTTTTCTTTTATTTTAAATAAATACATTTCTTAAAACAAACTTTTAATTAAAAAATTTGGGATTTAGATCCTCGATGGGGAACCCATCTCCATCGGGGACTAAATATGCAAGCTAAATTTTTTTTCTAGATGGGGATTAATTTAAAATTTGGGGCCAAGACGGGGAGAATGATCCCAGCCCCGAACCCACCGGTTGCCATTCCTACCCAGAGGGTCATCCCCTAAACCCATAAATATAGTTCCAATAATTATAGTAATTATAAATGTAGAATCTAATACTTATGAAAATTATTAAAATTTTCCAATTACTTATTTGTATAATTGGAAGCTTTATAATTTAACTTTCACTAAATTAAATTACCAAAATCAATAATTTTTAGTAATTAAATTTCCAAATTCACTAAAAAATTATTATTATCTAATAATATCATTAAATATTAATAAAATGACCAAAATTACTGAAACCATCAATAACTACTAATTGCTAAAAAATTATTGATAATATCAAAATTAGTGAAAATGTAAAAAATAAATATGTATTAATTTCCACTAAAAATTTTTAATTATTATTATCGGATAATATCATTAAATATTAATAAATTGACCAAAATTACTGAAAATATCAATAAATACTTTTTTTTCTACAAGATTACTGATAATATAAAAATTACTAAAAATATAAAAAATAAATTATATTTATTGAAATAAAATTTCCAATGAAAAATTACCGATTAATTTTAATTAATTATTAAAATATTAATTTTAATAGTTATTTATTTCAATAATTAATTTTCAATAAATTTTGAAATTAAATTACCAAAATCAGCAATTTTCAACAAGTAATTTTAATAATTAAATTTCCAATTTATCAAAATTACAAAAAATTATAGTTTAAGTGTTAATATTTACTGAATAATATTCGATGATATCAATYATTATTGAAAATATCAAAAACATTTCACAAATTAATTTAACCATGTTTTTGGTTTTTAAATGGTTTATTGGGCTAGAAAATTCCACTTTAGTACTCTGAACTTTGGGGGTAGTGTCAAGTTAGTACCCAAACTTTCAAATGTGTCACTGCAGACCTAAACTTTCAAAAAGTGTCAAGTTGGTCCTTGTCGTTAACCGACTATCAGTTATCTATTGAAAATGTCAAAACTACCCCTCAAAAGAAGACACTATTCATTGCCTTCTACCTTAAGACTGAACCGGTTGAGGTGTTTGAGATTCTAGACTAATGAAGTCATTGTCTTCTACCTTTAGATCTGAAACACATTTTTGTCTAGTTATTTCTTTGCTTTCAGTTATTGTTTCCCTCTATCATATTTCATGTTTTTTTCTCTCTTTTTCTTTAAAGGTAACGAGTTCAGTCTCAAGGTAGTTTTGACATTTCCAATAGATAACTAACGGTCAGTTAACGACAGGAACCAACTTGACACTTTTTGAAAGTTTAAGTACTGTAGTGACATGTTTGAAAGTTCGGGTACTAACTTGGCAATACCCCTAAAGTTCAGGGTACTAAAGTTGAATTTTTCCTATAGATTAAGTGGTGTTTTAGGTGGAATTTTAGGTGGGAGAGATAGTTTAGGAGAAATTTTAGGAGGGGGTTTGCTAAGTGACTAGGCGCATGAGATCTCTCTCTCTCTCTCTCTCTCTTTTCCTGTCAATTAATAATCTCTCATAATTAATCATGCTATTAACTCTCTCCTTCAATAACTCATGCCACTAATTCTCTCTCATCTCCATTATTCCATTAAATTGCATAAAATTCATTAACTTTACCTATATATATTCATTCCCATTTAACTATATATAATAGATATATTTGCATTCAGCTGTAATTATTAGTAGAGATTAATTACATTGAAATTGAAATATTCAAGGATATATTATTACGCTAAATAATCTACTTCCATTAAAAATTATAATCTATTTATATTCCATTTGAAAATAATAAAAATTAATTAACCATAAAAATAATTTAGTAAGTAACTTAAATAAAATAAAAATAATTATTAATATTATTTTTATTGATACAATATTTTTATTAATATAATAAAAGGAATAAGATAAATTAAAAATGAATATCAATTTAAAATTAATACACAACTAATACAAAATTGTCTAACAATTATTAGTTTTATAGTTAAATTTTATTAATTTAAAACCAACTTAAGTTCCACTAAAAATAAAAATTTATATAGTTAATTAATTTCATAAGGGATTTAAATTTAATAAAAACTTAATATACTTAAATAAATTCAATTTTTACTAATTTCAAAAATTAATAAAAAATGTTAGTTTTAAACATAGTTTAATTATTTTAAAATCAATTTAAATTTCATTTAAAAACAACAAAAATTATAAAAACCTCGGGTTTTCTAACTATCCTATAAAAGTCCCCAATGTTTTGACCTTAACAAAAACCTCCCCTATTGTTTTGAAAACAAAAGTGCAAATACATTACTTTAATCACCATTCCAAATAAATAATGTTGATGTAATGCATTAGTTTTACTTCACTTCAGCCTATTTACATTTGTCCAAGAAGAGTAAGGAGAATTATTCTTTGGAAGTTGTCTAGCAAAATAGATTAATGGAGGGTAAAGGTAAACTTTAAATTATATATGATAATGCATTAACAATGATAAGAGTATTTTCGTAACTTTGATGTCTTTGTTACTTAAGAGTCAAGGGAAAGGAAGTATTTGCACTTTTTTTCATAAAACTATAGGGGAGGCTTTGTTAGGGTCAAAATGTAAAGGTGGTTTATAGAATTGTTATAAACCAATAAAAATCTTTATCAAAAAAATTAATAAAAATTAGCATTAAGATACAAAAAAAATAMAATTTTATCTAGAGAATAGGTATCTGCCACTCTCACTAAAGTGCAACTTAGATTGTGATTAAATAAACTGTACTTAACCCCAAAAAATAATACATGAATTTAACTTAAATGAACACCATTTAATTAGAAATGTCATAGAACTCCATCTTCAATTTTGCTGATAAATAAAGCCCATGCATCACACGGGTCCTGACTAGTATTATAAAATGTTCCATGGGCTTGGATTGGATCTAATTGCGCTGAGGTTGGGCCTACCCAAGTTGTAGCCCGACTGTTAAGAAAGAGTTCTATTGTTTCTCTTTCTCTCTTTTGAAATTATATTTACACCAACCAACACCTCTCCT